TGTTGGCAGTGATAGTCAACCATGAAGGAAATATAACATTTTATCCATACAGCCATCAAATTCCCTAAATTTCTGTCTCCTTATTCCTCATGATACTTATATCTAAAGGAGAATGCCATTCAAATAGGGGTGGGGTGGGCCAAGACTGGCACAGTTAGAGGCTGGCTAAGAAGGCAGTGTCTCATTCTTGTGCAGTGACGGAGCCTAAGACTGATGGGAGAATCCAGAACCTGAGTAGGTTATCAGTGCTCTAAGTGTAGAGAGAAGAACAGGAAGAAATACGGGAGAGGGATCAAGGTAGAGTATGAAGCTATGAAGTTGGGGATCAGCGAGAAGAATTCTGGAGAGAGTAGATTAGAATCAGATGGATGGGGAGGGATTGAAAAGGGTCCTGAGTGCTGGTCTTGAGCTTAAGTGGTGTTCCATTATTCACTCATCATCTGGAATGAAATGGGTGGGTGATCCAACTTTCCAAGACAAGGCTAGGGTGAATAGGCATTTGGAATGTGAGAAGAATTGGTCATATAATGACTTGTACAATGCTAGAACAACAAGTTGTGCAAATGCTGCTAAAAAAGTGAGTGCTCAAAATTAATTTCAAAACACTATCAAAGGTCATATTCATATTCTGCTGAAATTAAGGTCAGTTTAAGTTGAACAAATTAAAGATTTGGAAAGATTTTAGAGTAATAAATGTGAAAAATAAACCTAGCATTTCACATACTTACACACATGATGTGCATGTGGGTGTGTTTCTGTTTCATCAACAAACGTTTATTCTATAAGCCTTGCTATGTACCTACATGGAACTGAGCACTCAGGATTATAGATATAAGTAAATACTATTCATGAGATGCAACATGACTACTACTTAGTTTTACAAAAGGAAAAATAACCCTCCTTATACTAGTTATTTACTCTGCTTTCATGATATGTCCTGGATTGAGATAGTCTAGGATTTTGTCACCTTGTCTCAAAGCCTGCCTATCTCCATTACACTTTAGAGTTATTACCATTCTGAACATAATTTTTATAACCTCAGAACCTCTTCTGAATATATGTGATTGCCCAAGTCTTTGCCAAAGATTTTTAAAATGTATGTGTATATGTTGTTTTAGCTATAGTAGGAACAATCTATGTAGGATAAAGCTTAACTTACGGCATAGGGTCCTGGATGCTGGAGCAGATATAATCATCTATGACAAAAACACAGAATTAAATGTCTAGTTACATGACTGATTGTATTTTCCTTGCTATAAGAAAAAAATAATAATGCATTGGAGTTTTTGTAAAAATTCTATAAGCTTACAGCATGCTTTCATATCCATCCTATTATTTTCCTTAAAATAATTTGCAGTTGAAAATATGAAATTCAAAGAAGTTTAACCACTTTCCTGAAGTCACACAGCTATTATGTATGGATCCAGAAGCAAAACCCTGAGTTTTCTACTCCAAGTAGAGGATTCTTGATTTCTCATTACACACATAGAGTGATAGTAGCAAGTATATTGTAAATTCTTTGATGCCCAACTTTATATTGAAATTGTTGAACATCTTGTAAAGGTTGCACTTAGAATGATCGTCCAAGCTGGCTCGGTGTTCTTAAAGTTTTCCTCCCCATTTCTAGAAAGTTGGCCGTGCCCCACAGAAGTGCCTGCACTAAGCTTTTGCCATTTTTTTCCTCCTGAAATGTTTTTCCCTGGCCGGGTATTATCGATTGCCTCATTTCTGAATTCTGACTCTGCATAGCCCCTTTAAAATATTAAATGGGATACTTCACTTGACTTTTTATATCTGATTATCACCTGGATACTATATCTGGGATCCCCATTCGCCAACTCAGAATTTCAAGGCTCAATCCTTACCTAATGCTATCCCTGACTCATGCTCCCAGGAATTCAGTCCCTGCCCAATTTTCTGGACTTTCGCTCTTCTAGGAGCAGACTTTAAACAATTGTGAAACTGAATGGAAACCTACGAGTTCACTATTTATTAAATAAAAATGTTACTTTCATATGTATAAAAGGCAGCATAGTAATTATACCTGGTGGGCATGGTTGTGATGATGGCTTGCCTCCAATCAACAGCTTGGTACCAAAAGTAGGCTTGGTTAAGTAGTAAGGAAGCATTGTGTGGCATTGGAAAAAGTACTGAACCAGCAGCCCAGGGTCTGGATCTGCCTCTAATATACTATGACTCACAAAACAATTATTTAACTATCAAGGGCTTCTGTTACTTTGTTAAATAAGGGCAGTAAGCAGCTTTCTATCTACAAATTTTCATATTTCTGTGAGGTATACTTATAAGTAAATAGGTATTACACGTATGATAAGATGTATTTATACACACAATTCCTTGCCCCATATATTTCTCCCACCTTCTATTATGAGGTCTGAAGTCTTATATATAGAATTTATTCATTGAACTTTGAAGAGTCCCTTAGCATCTAGAGTTCATTAATATTGAGCTAGACCTAGAAACAAAAGCTTTGAGATTTGGATTAGTTTGTTTTAAAAAGTATAACTAATAAAATCTGTGCTAAATTTTTAGCTTTTTCAGATCTTTTTAACCTAGTCCTAGAAGGAAACCAGAACTTTTAGATTATCTTATAAATTTAATCAGAATCACTTTGATTCCTATACTTGGCAATGGTCAAACTCTGTCCTAATAATATTGAGACAAGGTCATAGGAGAGCCCATTGTTCAGCACATAGGACCACAAATTAGGATTTTTGTGTTGCCAGACAAGGAATATGCAGTAGTTTCATTTTTTCCCCTTACTTTCTCTAGTTACTTCATTTATCTGATTCCTCATTTTTTATTGAGAAATAATTCACATGCCGTAAAATTCCTGTTTTTACACTATATGCTTCAATGGTTTTGTTCATACAGCTGTGCAATCTAATCCCAGGAAACTTCCGTCTCTCCAAAACAGCCATCACTTCCCGTTTACCCATCTCCTCAGCCCTTGGCAACCACTAATCTATGTTTTGTCTCTGGAGTTGCCTGTTCTGGATATTTCGTATACATTGGATCATGCAACATGTGACCTTTTGTATCTGGCTTCTTCCACTTAGCATAATGTTTTTGAGGTTCATCTGTGTTGTCACATGAATCAGTACTCCATCCTTTTTAATAGCTATCTAATATTTCATTGTATGGATATATCACATTTGTTCATCCATTGATAGATGTTTGAATTGTTTCCACATTATGAATAATGCTGCTATGAATATCTGTGTACAAGTTCACACGTGGAGATATATTTTCAATTCTCATATGTATGTACCTAGAAGTAGAATTGCTAGATCATATGGTAACTGTATGTTTAACCTTTTGTGGAATTGCCAAACTATGTCCCACAGCTGCTGCATTATTTACCTTTTTACTAGCTAGGTATGAGGATTGTAGTTTCTCTAAACCCTCAGCAACACTTTTTATTGTCCATCTTTTTTGATATGGCCATCATAGCAGATGTGAAATGGTACCACATAGTCAATTGTTTCTCTGGTTCTTAAGCCACTAAGTTTACTTAAAACTGAGAGTATTCTGTGACATCATATTTTTATTATCAATATAATTATTATTATTGAAATATTATTATTATTACTACTATTATTATTTTAATGGGTACAACCACCTTTCCATCTCCCGTCCCATATTTTTTGTCTCATTTTTTTGGGTCTATAACTTTTGAACCATTTAAAATCAACAGAGTCCTTTCAGCAGTTTCTTTATCCTTGAAGACCTTCATCTGTCTCCACAGATGCATCACCATAGCTCCCTGGAAGTGAAGCCAGGGGATTAGTCTGCAAGAATCACCTCCAAGGACATGGTTTCAACAGCTTTAGTCCCACATATTCCTCAATAACTTAACTCCAGGTGTAACTGCATTAAATCACTGGGGCCTTTCACTGAAAGGGTTACAAGGAAGAGATTCTTCTAGCACTTAGTGAAGACGGCAGTGACTATTGTGAATACGTTTGACATGTAGGATTCTTATTTACTTGTAGCTGATAAGATGCTATCACATTTGTTTTTCTTCAGCTTTTCTTTGAAGGGGAGGAATTTCTTCTTTCCATGAAATACATTTTGTTCATTTGACATGTTAGCATTTGTTTTTATTGTATTGATTATAAAATCTCATTGTAAGTCACTGAACAAGACTCAGGCAGAAAAGGTGAACTTGAGAGGCAGTGATTGTGAAGCAATAAATGTGGGTTCTGGCATTGATGCAGTAATTTTGCTGTTGTTGTTTAACTTTGTATTAATCATATAACCTTTTGGTTGTCTCACTTATCAAATGGTGAAGGTGAGGTAGAGGACTTTTAAGGTTCCTTCTTGAACTAAAACTCTCATATGTTTCACTGGAGATCATACAGTATAGTAGTAAAATTTTTCTACTACTTTTTCCTGATATTTTTACCTGAAATTTTAATTACTAAGTAAAAAAAAAAAAGTTTCAAAGAAATTAACAGGAAAGTTACTGACGTTAAGCAAAGAGGTAGTATACTAGTGATTTTATGGAACAAGCTTTGAGTGTTTCATAGATTTGTGAACATATAGGGTAGGGTAGTCCCTTCAAAAATGTCTGCTGAGCCTGTGTGTGCCATGATTGTGTTATATTTTGATTCCCAGGGTTACATTTTACATGCTAAGTGCCACAAAAATGCACAATGGCTATTCTCTTAAATTTAAAAAACATTAAACTGAGATCAGAGCGTGGACATGGGCACAGTCTTGAGTGATATTAACCGAAGAAATTATTCAAGCCTGACAGTGTTCTGTGGAGTAAGGTTGTTTAGAAAGGAAATCCCGTTTCTTGATTTTGTATGATAAGTCTTTAAACCAAATGCTAATAGAAATTATGTGCAATTATTTCTCATTTTTTCTTAACAGAGAACCTATATTTCAGGCTCATTGGATTTAAATATTTGCTGATTCATTATTAAATCCTTTCTCTCTTTTGTATCTTCTTCTTTTTTTTTTTTTTTCTGCAGGATGTTTTCACTCCAGAATGCAAATTTAAGGAATCTGTGTTTGAAAACTACTATGTGATCTATTCTTCCACACTGTACCGTCAGCAAGAATCAGGCCGAGCATGGTTTCTGGGACTCAATAAGGAAGGTCAAATTATGAAGGGGAACAGAGTGAAGAAAACCAAGCCCTCATCACATTTTGTACCAAAACCTATTGAAGGTACAAGACAAGCTTCTTTTCTTTAGACCCTGACCTGTGTGTTGATGCCAGTTCCGCCCCTTTTCCTTTCACTCAGTAGATTGTTTGTCATACAACAGATCAGAACAAAGATTCAGAAAACACAATAGTACCTCTTCCTATCAAAAAATAAAATTCCTTTAAAAATACTTGACACTTAGAAAACACTGCTTGAATATAGAGGCTAGCAAGTTCTTGAAAGTAGAAAAATAGTGGTAGTGACCATTTGGAATGTAATTTCCTTCTTTATTGAACACAATAATTTAATTTCTCAGGCTACACTCTTGAAAAAACCAGTAGTACTATTATAATGCTTTAAAGTTTTTACAAGTCTTTTAGAAATATGTTTATATCCTAATTTCTACATCTTTGTGAACAAATCTCATAATATAATGTATTAATTTTTATTTGTATTTTTTAAGGAAAGAAAATAATATTCAATTTACTGTGCTAATAAATATTACAGTTTTAAAATTTTATCCCTCTTAACTGAGCCTGTAACTTCCCCTCCCTTGCTCATTTAATATAGTGTTCATTTATTTCAACTGATCAGTGGAATAAATAATTTCATGCTGAGGAAACCCATTTTTGGCAACTTGTTCCCTAAGCAGGATGAGAATCTCCCATTGAGGTAACCACATTTACTGTATTCAGTCAAGCTTTTTAATACAGGCTAAGAAAGCAGCAGTGGAGTGGACATTTACCAACATAACGCTCTTCTCTAAAAGTTACATTATAATCTCTTAAGACATTAGTTCAGCTTCCTCATCCAAAGAAATGAGAAAATTGAGGCAGTGCATTGCTATTCTGTGATTTAGCCAGGCTTACTGTCCCCTAAATATCCATAAGGTATGGTCAAGTCCACCAGTGTAGGGACACAGTGCCTGCTGCAGATTACCTATGACTGAAACAGTCAGCAAACATTTGTTAAATCAATACTATGTTCAAAGCACTGGGGGGAAATGTGACATTCAAAATTCCTAGTCTTTCTCAAGCCTCCCCTCACACCTTGTGCTTTTAACCACACAAAACAGAACTTTCTTCTGTTCTACATTTTTACTACTTGTAATACATTTTTACTATTTTGAGCTTTATGTACTTTTTTTTTTTTTTGCCCTTCTGTCCTCAAAATTTCCATTCATGTGCCTGGAGAATGCCTATCAGTCCTTGTAAAGAATTAATTCAAGAGTTAATACTTCTATGACGGCCTCCCTGACTTTCTTCAAGTAGAATTAAATATTCTGTCACCTTATTATTGTATCTTGTTCTCTCTTCTAGAAATTATCACATTGTATTAAATTCACCTATTTACCACTCTGTCTCTTCTTATCCATAATTAGATCACTTGTTAAATGACAGAATGTTTTATTTTTCTCATATCTCCTTGTATCTTGTACAATACGTGGCATATCATAGGGAGATATCCAATAATCATTGTCAATTGAATAAGTGAACAAGTGAATGAACAAATGAACACATAGGTAAGTATAAAGACAAAGAAGAACTATATTCTCCAGGAAACGTTATAATATTCTTGGAGATATGAAGTATGTTTACTAATGGCAGTAGTATAATGTAAAAAGTGACGGACTAAATGTTGCCGGAAATGATATTGGGATTTATAGAAAGAGCCAGCACTTCCACCAAAAGGAAGATATTGGAACGTTGATACTGAAACATACCTTCAGGGCTAGGTCAGGTTCAGAACATTTGAGATGAGAGGTGGGGATTAGGTAGACAAAAACACTCCAGGTGCAGAGTGAGTAAACTATTAAAACTATTGCACCATTTTTATTTGTGCATTTAACTTGTTTTTTTGTTGTTGTAATAAAAGTAGTGCATGCTCATTAACAATTTTTGGAAAATTCAGGAGAGTATAAAGGAAAAGTAAAAAATCCTTGTGTTTTGTTTATTCCTTTTATGAATAATGCATTTCATACTAAATCCCTCCCCCCCCAAAAAAAAGAAGAAACACCTGTAACGTACCCTCCTGATCATGACTTCTGTCTGCATTTTGGCTAATCAAGCTTCTTCTTGGGTCTGTATGATCATGTACATATTTCTAAGAGAAATGTATACAATTACCATGTTCCGAGTTTGAGAGCTGCCTTAATTCTTCATATTTGCTGCATTTCAGTACAAATGTGGGAAAAGAAAACCAGACATTCCTAGTTGTATATGTTAGAATTAGGTTTGGTTGTGTACAACACAAAACCCATGTTAAGAGCAGCTTAATCATACAAAGTTTTATTGTCTCACAAACCAAATCTAGAAACCTGCTGTCCAGGGCTGGTTCTGCGGCTCTGCAATTGTTAGCGACCTTGGCTATGTCCAGCTTTGAGTGCCACTCTCGTTTTGTTTTTGTTTTTCAAATAGCTCTGCCTTTTTCCCAGTCCTGATGGCGATGTCATTTTTGAATGTCAGGATTCCCAAAATTAAGCTCCGTCAGTGTGAGGATCTTTAAGTCATGCACTGGTTGCATGATAATAATAACCCACCAGCCCCTTTCCCTTCACAGCTTCACCCTCCATCCTGTGTTTAGAACATAGGCAGTGTTAATAAGGGGTTGCAAGGGCATCTATTCAGACAGATGGATGGACTTGATATTTAAACCCATTACCACGTACATTGCACATCAACCTTTACTTACCCTCCCCTGGAATTTAAGACAACAGTGCAGGCTTCACCATTCCCAGTTTTGTCCATTCAGAGCACTGTTCACACCACAGATAAGTAACTCCCCCAGATTTAATTGTCTGGATGGTGACCTCCCCCTTTAGCTTCAGATACACCAGCCAAATACTGTCTGACAAAGAACAAGAAACAATCTCTGCCTTTTCTCCTCCCTCCTCCTTCAAGGAGTTCATTGCTCAGCTCTTGCAAGTGGTTGGATATTCAGAATCTAGTTCCTTCCCCCTGAAAAGAATGTGTGCGCTTTCCAAGATTTAAGCTTCAAGAACTTAATCCTGGCGTGAGAAATACATTTCCAAAGTGAAATTAGTAAACATCAATTGCAAGCCATCGCTACAGAAATATTAAACTTGGACTAAAGGAACACCTAACCAGTTTCTACCAATTTATTTTCTAGTGGGAAGATAAGACTAACACAACATGCACATACACTCACACACCTTTAGGACAGTTACAGATTACCCTTTCTGTCTGTTAGAACTGTTGCTTCAAGCTAATAGAACCTAATTGAAGTCTCAGCAGTATATAATGTAGATCATTGGTTCCCAAACATCAGTATCAAAACCACCTGAAGTGGTTTTAAAAGCTACCAATTCTCAGATCAAATCTCCATAGGATTCTGATTTTATTGTCCAAGTTATTTTGATGGCAACCAGGTTTGAGACTCAGTGTTCTAAACTGAATTTGCTGTTTCAGTGCTCATTTTGATCCAGTCTGGCCGTAGGCCATTATTTAAATGTATTCAAATTAGTATGATCTATATATTGGACTAAGCCTAATCCAATATAGAGTAAATTGTCACTCTGACACCATGGAATTAAATATATTAAACACATTAATATATTTAATTACCTTTCCTACTGCTATTAGGATGGTTGTACTTTAGTGCTGGGTTAAATTACTATATGGAGTTAGTGGAGGTAATACCAACTATTGTACCACATTGATCACTAAGAAAGCGTTACTTGATAGTAATCAATTAGTCAAGGATAAACAAATGTCTGATTCTTCTAATAAAAATTTTACCAATGATTTGCTAAGTAATTTTGCAAAAATAATTTTTTACTTCAACCTAGGTAATCTCTGGAGATGTAACTGATTATAAATTCCATCTATTTCACAGGAATAATATGAAGATTGGCATTGTAAGAAAGTTGGGTCTCTCAAATCTGTCAGATCGATGCAAAGAGCCTTTTTCATTTTCCCTTGGAAATTGTGTTACTGTGTTATGTACTAGAGAAAGGCTGTGAGGCGTGGTATTGAATAAAGTATTAGAGACAATGAAAATTGAATTTGGAGGGAAAATAATAATTTCTTCAAAACCTTTGTACTAAAACACCAAAGAAGTGAATAAATCAGGGGTCCTGATTTTGTAAAACTCCTATCAGGAAGATACTAATGGCAAATTATTTTATTTTATTTTATTTTTTGCGTTACGCGGGCCTCTCACTGTTGTGGCCTCTCCCGTTGCGGAGCACAGGCTCCGGACGCGCAGGCCCAGCGGCCATGGCTCACGAGCCCAACTGCTCCGCGGCATGCGGGATCCCCCCGGACCGGGGCACGAACCCGTGTCCCCTGCATCGGCAGGCGGACTCTCAACCACTGCACCACGAGGGAAGCCCTGGCAAATTACTTTGATGTTTTTATTTCAGTTAACTTGAAAGAGAACTAGACGGTTTGTTTTCCAAAATCCTCTTTTGGACCCAACCATACTAAAAGACAAAAACAGAAAGATGGAGTAAAAACATACTTTCGATGCTCTTGAATGTTTCTATTACAGAAAAGATAATAGCAGCATCTCTCTCTCCACCGTTTGAGTTTGGGATCTCTGCCAGCCTGTGACACCTTCTTTCCCCAAACCAGTTAACTCATTCAAAGCAGCTTTTTCCTGGCTTTGAATTTAGTCTTTAATAAAGCCCTCCTACCTCTCCCTGACATATTCTTCTTCTATATCTATCTCTTGCACACAAATACTGCTTCTGATCTCTTTCTAAATGAAAATATAGATCTTTTTGTTCACAATGTCTCTTAACTCTTTATAATAAATATTTATGGCATACTGGGTGCATCCTTTTGACAATACGTTCTGAACCAGCACATAAAGTTCTGCTTCAGTTCCAAAAGGGATTCTATGTGACATTAATTAAGGTGTGAAATTGCTTCCTGTTAATTTCTCACACCCTTCCATGATCTGCTATTAAGACAATTAAATTTCTTTAGTGGTCCATTAACTAACAGAGCAATCTAACCTTTCCACTTGGAGATTACAGAGGGCCAAGGAAAATTTGATT